AGATAGACCTGTCAAAGAGGGGATTGAATAGCGGCCCACCATTTAAATAAATAAAAAAATCAAAGTATTAAAAGAAAGAAAAATTAAATAAATTTATAAAAGAGATATATATTTCTCTCCATATAGCTCAAATTACAGAATCAATCTTAATATTCATTTTAACAATGGTGCTTCAGATTTCTCACTTTTCATCAGTAAATAACTATTAGGTTTGAAGTTTCCTTAAACAAAATTATCAAATTTTTTAGACACTTACTTATTGCTTTGTTGGCTCTTTAAATACTCATCCATCAGAGCAAAGTAGGTCAAATTACCCTTTAGTAGAAAGGTTTGGCCCAGTTCTTTAGCTCTTAAAAATATTAGTTACAAAAAATATTTTTTCATTTGACAAAGTTTATAAATTAAATAAAAAGTAATGTAAATAGGGAGCAAATATCACAAGATCTTAGATAATTATTAATTTTAGCATTGAAATTTATTATATTAAAAAACGTAGGAATTAAAAACTATGCAAACCTTCCATGTTTTCTCTAACCACTACCAAAGTTGATTTATTAAAAACATTTTCTTACCTCCAAAGGTGAAAAATTTATGTTTTTTTAATATCCTACTGAAATTTTGATATAGAAATTCGGAGTTCACGGGTTCATGTACGATTAATTTGGTAAATAACAAAATAAAATCAGCCACAATAATTAAGTAAATTAAAACATTTAAGAAAATTAAAGAGAAAAAAAGCTTTTGAAATAAATCAGAAAAAGTATCTAAATTTTGTTTAAAAATATCTAAATTAGAATTGAACGAGGAAGTGACACAACGGAAATCTCAAGACAGAGTGACCAAGGAAATACTAACAAGACTAGCTCTCCCTATTTACAGCCCTAGAAAATTTTCGTTACAAGGAATTTATGATCAGAAATCAGACAAAAGGGTGTTTCTGTGGATATCTGATACTTCCGAAGTAAGGACAAAAGAGCCCAAGGTAATTAAAAGAAGCTAAAAATATTTTCCCACAGTGTGAAGTGAGGCGGCTATTTGAGTAGTCGGTGGGTGGTAGATACGAAAGCAGGGAAATTTTCCTCAGTCGAACGAGTGTTTTAGTGCTCTTTTGGTTAGAAAAGTAAAGAGTAACAATTATTTTTATCTTCGTAAACTCTTCGATTAGATTTTGAAAAGCACCCGACAATGTAAAAACGAATAAAAAAAATTTATTTGGCCCCCAGCTCCAAATAAAACTTTTAAAAAAAAGAAGAAAAAAGTGGGATCTGGGGGCCCCAAGCTATAGCTTATTTAACTTATACGTAAATCCGGTCTTGCCTTGAGGTGACGAAAGATCGCTTTAGTCAAATCAAAGCTTATTTTGATGATATTAAAATTATTCGGGCAGTTTAGTAGGTAAGTACTTTATTTACGTCGAACAAAAGCTGCACAACGGGCTATTGGCGACGGTCTGGAAACTTCCCTGAGGGCGATCCGAAGACATGCCATTGCTATTTTGATCCTCAGCAGAGGGGTTGGCTACCTCGCTTTGGTCGACTTGCGCGTAAAGTCGTGCACTTTACGGTAGAACAGTTTAACGAGGACCGATATCGCGCACCCTCGGTTCCTACACAGGTTGATCAGATTGGTCACCCACCTGCCTTCAACCAGTGATGCAAGACTTCGGTGTTCTATTCGGACGCATGTCTCTACGACCAGTCAACTGCGGGACTTGAAAAGTTTGGATAACGAATTTAAACTAACTTTATCGATGATTATAAAAATAAAATGTCATATCAGATTTGCATCGACATTGGGGGCCATTTTGATTGCATCCAATTTTTTCGCACGTAAATAAAATTTGATTGGCGAATTTTTTTGAGGGGAATATATTTAACCTATTTGTTTCTTATACACACACATCCAGCCGCCATCAAGAGAAAGGTAGATGCTTTCTTTATATCGTACTAGAACTGTACAATGAGCTATTTGCACACGGTCTGAGAAATATTCCTGAGGATGATTCGCAGACATGCCATTACAATTCTGATCCTCTGCAGACAGGATGGCTTCCCTGCTTCGATAGTTCGACGACTAGCACACGAAGTCAAGCACTTTACGGTAGAACAGTTTAACAAGGACCGATACCACACACCCTTGATCCGCGCGGGTAGATCAAAGTTATTAAACACCCGCTTTCTAACCACAGCCAGTGAGGCTTGATTTCGGTGTTCTATCAATCAAGAAAGAATGAGACCCTAAAGTGGACATTCACGCTGGATGCGGAAAAATCACGAATTCGGAGATGCAAGCGGAACCTGATTGGCGAGTTTTTCGCTGATTAAATTTCCCCAAGGACATTCTCGATCGCTGACGCGAATTTTTTGCATCCCTCGCAAATGATCCCGAAGGGCCAATTCTCTTTTAATGACGTTCACGCACTTCCAATGGCTACAGAGAAAAATGGTAGGTATTTTGTTTATGTCGCAGTAGAGCTGTTGTTGTTGTTGTAGTTCATTTACGTCGCACTAGAGCTGCACAATGGGCTATTGGTGACGGTCTGGGAAGCATCCCTGAGGATGATCCGAAGACCGTGTCTTCACGATCAGTCCACTTCGGAAGAGAAAAATTAAGAACCAGATTGAAGAGTTTTCACGGAAATTTTTTTTTAACAATTCGCGATCGCAATGCTCGAGTACGCCCTCTAGCGGGTGCCTGAAATATCAGACATTAATTTATCACGTTTTCATTTAGTTCCATCGAAATCATTGGCAGAGTCAGGCGCCATTTTCTTAGCAGCAAATAAAAATCAAAATTTCCCTAAGGAAAAGCCGAAGAACTTGAAAAAAATCTCCAGAATATTGAGATATCTTTCAGACCCAGAACACGCCGAACATTTGAAGAAAAATTTCTCAATAATTTTAAACTTCCATCATCAACAAACTTGCAACTGATAACTTCCGATTTCGCTATCGCATACTGTTACAGATGTGTGTATTAAGGTAAAATGCATTTCTTCTGTCTTCAATTCATTACAAATTAAAGTGACGTCAACATTGCTTTCGTCGTTCCAATAAATAAATGCGAATTCAGAACGTACAGAACTGTAATAGTTATAGAGTATTCTTCTTCGTTATAGAATAGTATATATTTCTGTATCCATATAATTCGGAAAACAACAATAAAAAATTGTCCAAATTACTTGAAATAGTGCCATTTGTGCTGATTCTCAATTAATTTTTATCGTTTTCTTGGTAAGTACTTTTTGGTTTTGAAAGAATAATTTCAACTAGAATTCAGCTATTCTGTTTTTAGCTGCATATTCAATTTCATATCTATTATAAAATTTTGCTGTGTAGTATGTTATCTAAAAGTAATGAAGGGATAAACTATGTATTGCTATGTCCAGAATAAAGTTTTCAAACAAGGAACTTATCATTTTGGAATTCTCCGGGAATCATAAATCAGGTAAGTGCAATGATTTTTACAATAAAAAATTTGCTTGTAAATATTTTTTTTTCATTTGATGATGGTTCTCTACAGAATGGTTTTTTACGTCTGATTAAGAACTATAAGAATAATAAAAAAAGAAACAATATGAAAGTTTTTATTTCAATGTTAATAATTCTTAAAATCGTTTTTTTTATCCTAAGAATTCTTTATTTTCCGTTTTTTAGTTTATAATTTTTTGATAAAAATTGTTCTCAAAATACTTTTGAAAAATTAAATGGTATAACATTATGTGTTTATGTATACTTCTTGTATATTCCAATGTTTGAAATAATATGATTCAGAAAAGTATGGAATAAAAATTCGGTACTTACGTATTAACGCCACCGCCGCTACAGATTTGGCGGTTTTTAAGTGCCGCCAATCTACACTTAAAATTTTTGCGACAATTCATAAAATAAAACACTTTATTTAAAATCAAAATAGTTAATCGGATTTCGGTGGAAAATGAGCCGATATAGAGTTTAGCATAGATTCAAAACAATCATATCGCCATATGAACTCTGATGAATAAGATTCCAAATGAAATAACATTTCCAAAACGTACGTTTACCAAGATAAAGTTTTATGTTGTGGGAATTGGTACATTTTCGTTTTTTCGGTAAAATATTTCCCTCCTGAAAAAATAAAATTGCATCTTGTTTTGTTTTTGGCAAATCCCAAAGACGAATTTTCGTAGCACTAAAAATGGCGACAAAAAAGAATTTTTTTTTTGTTTTTGTTTCGTCAGCATTCTTTATTTTACGTTTCTTAGTTTCTAAATAATGATTTTTATTGAAACTTGAAATTTTTTGATAAAAATTGTTGTCTAAAAACTTTTTTTACAAAATTAAATCTCATAAAATTATGAGACTTATGTATACTTTTTGTTCATTTTAATTTTTGAAGTAATATGCTTCTCAAAACTATAGAATGTAAAGTTTAAATAGGCCTTTCATGTTATATCATTAAATTCAGTAAAATTATTTCTCGAGCATTGGGTTTTAACTCTTATAAGAATATACATATTTTTTCCAGTTTATGTACAAATATTTTTCTGATATGTTTTGTATGTTCCTTCTTTAAAAAAAAAAGAGATACCATCTTGTTTTCGTTTGCATAAGAAATGATATTAAACATTTTTCCTTTTTAAATTTAATAAGACACGATAAAGAAGGATCGTTACAATGTTACACGCTACATTAAAGACGTCTCCAGAGTAAATGAATGACTGTTCATATCGAAATCGCAGGTATTAATCTCATACAACGCCCCCTATAGTTCGTTGCGATCTCGAATTGGTTCTCATTCTCACTTGATGGCTATCAGAAGCGCTTGCGAAGTGTTTACCAATCGGGTTCTCCTTCTCACCAATTAGCAATCACAAGTGTGTAAAATGCATAAAGTGAAAACTGACCCCAAAATTTTATTAGTAAATCATTAAGTTTTTGCTTTGAAAGAGCCCATGCATTTTTTTTAAATTGTTAGTAAAATGCCTCTTAATTTTCTTCCATATTTATTGAAGTTTATAAATTATGCGGTTCTTCAGTGACGTTGAGACACAAAATGGAACACAAACTTTAACTTGGACTTAACTCTAAATTTTGTTTTTGTTTTCGTAATTTCTCTTTGTTTATATGATCCTGATCGAACCGAAAATCAGAATTCCAAATGTGGCCATCGTTTCAACCTAACCTGTGACATATATCTCGAGGATTTAAGGGGTTTGTCATTCGTAAATTTAACGAAAATTTGGCATTCCTATTCAAAATGTAATACCAACGTTGCTCCAATAAGTTAATTGTAGATCATATGAAATGGCTTCTAACGGTTTAGACATGGATGCCGAAACCGTTGATCGAGAACTAAAAAAACACTATGGAATACAGGATTGTTATGTTCATATTTCTCGATTATCCGATTCTATATTCTTGCCAACTGAAGGAAACAGCAAAGAACTTTATAAATATGGCAACAAACGACTGAAATATTCTAGTGATGAGTACTCAGAAACCGAAAGTGATTTTTCGACTAGTCATTCAGACGCAAACGAGTATCAGATGATCGATATTATTGAAAGAATTGATTCCTATCCAGAAAATTACTTCGCTAATCGAAACTGTTACGAGGAAAAGCCTTTCTCTGTGCATTACAGCAAGATGTACATTGACGAAATCGTCAACAACATTTACGCTTTTCAATCGCACAATGTCAGATTCGATTTGAGCGAAATCTTTCAAGTCTTAAAAAGTGATTTCACGTCACTCTCCGAAACCGAATTTCGGACGAGAGTTCGGGAGAGACTGACTGAGATGTGTTATCGGTCAATTAGCGAGAAATTCAAATCGGAATGTAGAATCGCAGCCGAAAGAGTGTTGAATCAACTTGCGCATAAACAAGTTGATCTTATTCTGGGGAAAGAAAACAACGTGCATCCGAACACTGTTAAGCTAACTTGGTCCAGCTGCACAAATTTTATTCTGAACAAACATATTAGAATTTCAAGCCGAGCTCATCAGTACCGAAAACTATATTACGATAAGGAAAGCTTTGTTATCGTAAGGGAAGAGGATGTGAAGTATGCAAGAAAGGCTATAAAGCGATTGCATAAACTCAAAGTCATTGTTCAGAAGGATAATACGCTACCTTCCATAAGTCATTTCAATTCTTGTAAAAATAGCTTACTGATAGAAAGTACGAAAAAAAATGCAAGATTTAAGTGATTTAACTATTATTCAAATTTTGCCTATTCTACTTTTCAGTCTGACTATACGAGCTAATTAATTCATAATACATTTATTACTTTAATTGAAATTATTAAGAATCTCATTAAATCAGCTATGTAAAAAAATAATTGCAGGCTGTTGAGTAAATAATACATGAAATTCATTCAAAATGGTGTTTTGTAAAGCACTACTCCATAATAGGGTTTTAAATAATTAATGATTCGAAATTTTTTTGATTGAGAGGGAGATATTTTCTTATCAATTTCTAATTATGCAAACTATAGTAACTGAGGCACCAAAAAAATTTTAAAGTTGCACAAAATAAAATATATATATATGTTGAGGCATGCCTAATTGTAGCTAATAAGTATACCTTTCAAGCTGGTCACCTTCAGGGATGTTTTTTTTTTTTTTTAAGTTTCTCATTATCTACTGCAAGTCACTCATTTTTTTTAAACTAATATATTCATAAATAGCAATTTCCTTGCCATTTCTGATTTGTAACAGAAGAATTATTTAATCAATGTAATATATTTGCCCTCTTTTTTTAATTTATTTGATTTTTTTTATATGGAAATCTCAAATAGATTTTCAAAATCACTTTTCAACACACTCAAGTACTAAAAAGAAAACTACAGGTGAAATCTCTGTATCATGGTCTGTGGCAGAATGATTGCCAAAAAAAATTGCAAAAACGGACCAACTTGAAAGGTATAACTTATAGCTAACCCCAAGCAAACATCTGCATGTTTTTTTTTTTAATTGCTAGATTAAAATCTAATTGGCACCTTGGCGATTGTAGTTGGCTTGACAGATCATGATATGGAAATTGTCCCAAACTACACATAGAGAATAAAATTTCAGATATTTTTTCCTTTTATTAATCACATGTCTGTATTTGTTAAACTAGCAATGCATTATTTTGAATTATTTAAGTTTGAAGCACTGCTCAGATAATGATAATGTGCTTGTCAACTTTATATCAATTAACCTAAAACAGAACACTGATTCATTTTGTAAGGAATACATCATAAAACTTCAACTTTAGGGGTACACATCCTTTTTTCGAATGAAGACTGCTGGACAAAAAATTAGCTTCCCAGTGGCAGCAAAAAAAAAAAAAAAAAATTTGCATCAATTTTTAATTAATGAAACACTGCTTAGTGTCATTAAAAAATATATAAATTTTTTCTTTAACTGTCTAAAGTCTTTTGTGAAATATTATTATGTTGGAATATTTTCAAATTAAGTCTTAACATTTTTATCTTTAATTAAATTATACATTGGTGAATACTTGGACTATTGTGTACGAGAATATTCATTCTTATAAACAATAACTACCAAATTTCAGTATTACAATGTATTTTCAAAATTACTGATATTTAGGACTATACAACAATATTTTTCCAATTTTATTGACTTGTATTATTTTTAAATTGATTTATATCTTCACCACCCCAATTAAATTTCTCAACTCTTGCATTAAAACCATATTCAGTATTTATTGTTATGTATGAAATTTGTCAATATTATATTTTTTTGGTTACATTATTGATGATGATATTATCAGATTTGGTAATTTTAGTTAGTAATAATGATTACGATATTCTCGTATTTCATATGCATTGCTATCATTCATAGTGGCAATATTGTCGTTTTTCACATATTTATGTGTTTGATTGGTTTTTTGTGCATTGTTTCTACATGTTGGCTTCATGGGCCTTATAATTCTGCAAACACCAAATTTTCTAGATTAAAATATGTTCAAAGCAAAATTTTCAATGAAAAGATTTAAAATGTTGAAAGATTTGTATCTTTTGATGTATCTTTTTTGATGTTTTTTGATATTTTTTGATGTATCTATGATGTATCTTTTTAGCACATATTGGAATTTAAAATAATAATTTCTGTTTTTTTTTCTTTCCAGACTGAGCGGAAATTATATTTCTTATGCTAAGCGTATAGTCCCCCCCCCCCTGCTTTTTGGCTGAAAAGCAAGCAGTCGTAGGTTGTGTACCTCTATTCTTCTTGTAAACCCTATTGTGCGGCTTTCAGGAGAACTTCTCCAGACATCAGTCTCACTTCGTGGCATGTACCATGGTTACGAGAAAATCACTTCAAATAGGGGTGTGGGGTGAATAGTTTTCTCTTAATCTTAGCATAGGTCAATGTGAGTAAACCAATCGCCACCTTTATTCCTCCATTGCACCCCCTTTAGAAATGCGCTCTCGCTTATTACCATAGCAGTCAGCCCGAGACTTTTAGTCTGGAGGAGTTCTCCTTAAAGTCGCACAATAGTTAACTTCAATTAATTAATTTATTTTTACTTAACAGAATGAGGATATAATTATATATATTTTTTTAAAAATTACAAGTTCATCTCAAATCTGTTTTTTTTTTTCCCCCTAATAAGAACTGAATAGGATTTTTTTGAGTTTATTAATGAAAAAATAGTACTTTGAATGTCACGTCACTTGTATATATATATATAAATGTGATTTCTAAGTTTGTCTCTCTTTTTGAAACCTGATTGAAGCCACGAAAATTTTGTAGTATGTTATTAAATTTGTTATCTTCCAAAACATAATTTGATTTGTTTGGTTTTTTTTTTTTTTTAAACAGGAATTTAAAGTTTTCCTAAACTGTTCGTAAAACTTTTTTCTCCCAGTTGATACTGGTGAAACATAAAAGCATGCATGTCTTTTTAAAAGATTAGATGTTCTGGTCTAATGAGTTTTGAAATTTCAGTCATGAGTTTGTTGTGTTAGATGTTAAATTGTCTGTTTTATAACTGGAAGTAAGTAGTCTTATAGCTAATTGTTCTTTTTAAAACTTCTACTGTGACTTGTTCTTTGGAAACTTCTGTTATTGTCTTAGATGTGTGACACACCAGATTGTCTAAATTGACGATATTGTCTTAACGTCACGAAACCCTACTTTGTCTGGTGCTCTTCATTGGAATTTGAATAGTTGTGGAAATTTTTAGTTTCAAATCTACATGTTAATATCACTGCTAAAATAGCTTCTAGGCTAAAAATAAATGACTAGAAAGGAAATTAAACCTGTTTAAAAATAAATGCAAAGTTATATTTTTTATTCATGAGTAAATTATAAATCACTTTATATAATTTTAAAATATATAGTATAAGCAGGGTATCTGCACACCTGAAAATTCATAAATTTCAGTATTGAATAAAATTTGTCATAAAATGTCATGATTTTAACTATTGTTTAAAAAAAATCTTGGAAAGTCATGGTTTTAGTTCGCCGAAAAATCTAATTTTTAAAATGCAATCCCCCCCCCCTAATTCCATTGTGCTCCGAATATCTTAATTTGTAACTAACTCCCCACTCAAAGTCATATTTTATTAATTATTTCTGAATTTTTATTATTATTTATCATTTTTTATTTTATCAATTTAAAATTCTAGCTGAAGCAAGCCAGTCATTGGTGAATTTTTTTTTAGAAAATCAGAAGTATTTCTTTCCTTCCTGATGAACAAGAAAAGTATCTTTAGAATATAATTCTTCAGAAAAAAGAAGAAAAAATTTTTTGCTTTTGTATTTTTTTCAGCTTTTTTATTCCTTCAACTCTTTCTTTACTCTGTTTTTTAAATTTAAAATCTATAAATATGAAGATGCAGAGTATGACAGTTTCGATTATACCTATCATTTCAATTAATGTTATTATAATGCTTTTTTAAATTTATTGTTGTGTTATTGTTGGAGAAAATGGTAACGTCGTTAATTCGTGAAAATTTTTTGAAATTATTCATGACTTTAAAAATCTAAAATGTAGCAGATACCCTGTTTGTTGTAAAACTTGATTTGTTTGCATTTGGCAATATGAAAAATATGTGATTAATATCTCTATTAATGTATAATTTCTACGTTTATAAGGTCTTAAAGCTAGTTGAACAAATTGTGAACTTTGAAAAGTTGGTGTTAGGCCTGCAAAAAGTGTGATCTTTAGTTTTGTGATTACAGAGGCGAAAAAAAGCATTAAGTTAGTCTTTTTCTTTCCTACCTTCTGAATTCAGAAGTAATTCTTGATTTGAAACTCAGTTTGTTTTTTGACAAACTTTACATCATTTTACAGCAAGAAAAAAATATATAGTAGACTCTTGATATCTCATGGTGGGTACTGTTCTTAAAAAGTGCTTGAAGGTGATGATTTTAGTTTTTTAAAAGCCCTTAAAGGTGCTTATTTTATTGAGTGTTTTTAAAAAGTGTTAATTTTTCCCTTTTTTTTTGTTTTTTGAAATGAGATATTTTATCTTACCATGTTGATTTACATATTGTGCAAAAGTTAGGTTTTCACATTGTTCTATTAAACTTTTTTACAATTCATTCAAACAAAGCATTACGGCGTACCGTCGGTCCATAGCGTATGAAAGAGCTAATCATTTTACATGTTTGATGAAATACTTGCGGGTCCACATGTGCATATACTGAGCTAGGTTCGGTGAGATTCTTGCACTCTTATGTGCAACTCTGCTGCATTTTGCAAAATATTCTCAATTTCAGGCTTCATTTTCCCTTCCCTGAAATCAAACCAAAAAATCTCTCAATCTCTTTATGGTGGCTAATTTAATCATTAAAAGAGTTCTTTGTTAGAAACTAGTTATTTTATCATGATCATGTCTTTAAAAATTATTTTGCATTTTGTTGATGTATAGAGTGCTAAAAAATATTTTTTGAGTGCTTGAAAAGTACTTTAAAGGTGCTTATTTTTTGTCGAAAGATTTGACTACGCACCCTGTATCTCGAAAACCTTGTTAAATCAACAACAACAAAAAATTTCCCTTGGCATCATATGTCTTCCTAATGTTAATTTGAATTCCTATGTCGCAGGGTTTCTACTCAAAATTGTGTTACATTTTTTTCGAAGTAGAAAATAAATTTTTTCAGAAAAATCACAAAGTTAGTTTATTGTAAGCCAATTCTTTTCTTTTTAATGCATAATTATTTTTGTACTACTTTTAAAAATAAAATTATCATTGTTGTATTTAAACTTATAGTCAACTATCATTACATGCATATTTATTAGTAGTTATTATTATGTTTCATGACTCTGCTTTTTAGAGTAATATTTTAGACTATATTTTTCTACTTTTTAGTTCTGAACTTGCTATCTCGAAATTTATTTAGCTTCCCTTCAACTTTGAGATATCGAGAGTATACTGTATATAGTTATAGTATAGTGAATGGAATAAAATAAAAATATGACTCATATGTGTGATGCCTTTATAAAGATCTCTCACGTGTGAATCATCATCAGGGGTCTGTCTAGGTTTTTCTGAGAGGTACCTATTTTGTGAAAATTTGTACATTATTTGTGAAGATTAAGAACTATATTAAAAAAATCATCACAAAAATATGAATTTATCATTTCTTATGGCATGCCAAAAATAAAATTTTAAGAAAAAGTATTTTGTGAAATCATTGTTTTTTCTAAAGTTGAATTTGTGATGATACCGCTAAACGATAGTATATTTGTCCTAGAGAGACCCCTGATCATTATCCCATGGAACCAGTTTTGAAGTCTTAGATTGTCTGAAGACTTTCAACAATACTGAATGAATGCTATGCTAAATTCACTACATTGATAAACGAAAAATAATTAAATTTTAATCATTTGTATAACATTTTAGATGTTTATGATATTTATTTTTCTCCTGATGGAATGCATGAGTGATGTCTAAATTTAGTTGTGTCAGCAATGCTTGTAGTCAAATTCATTATGGTGATTTTGCCCTTCTTTTCAATTTAGTGAGATTTCTTCAACTTATGAAGTTTACTTATACTTTAGTTCCTATAAAGTGTTTTGTTGTTAGTTATTTAGATTATCTGCAATTCTATGATGAATTTTTTTTTCTATGTCCTTTGATAAAAAAAAATAATTAAGTTATTTTATTTTGAAATAATATGCTGATGTAGGTTGATTAATTATTTATGTGTATTTGAATGTGCATTGTTTGCTTATAGATACAGTATTAACTAGTAGAATATTTTCAAAATGCCAATGTAAGCTTTAACATGTTGTTCACTAGTACAAAACTGTTTTACTTTTTAATGGTAAACTTTTATCTATAAAAAAACTGTAGAAAACTTCAAAAATCTGTACTAAAAAATCTCAACTTAGAAAATTTTTAAACATCTTTAATCAAAATATTTTTTTTAATATCAAGTTTTTTTATTCTGCCCTTACTAGGGCCAAGTAAAGCTTTCCCACAACTGTTTGTTATCTGCCTGAGAAGTCATGAAAGTTAAAGAACCAGCTGTTTTGTGACCGACAGATGATTGGTACTTTATTTAGATCGCACTGGACCTGTACAATGGTCTGGGAAACATCCCTGAAGATGATCCATAGACATGCCATTGCTATTTTGATCCTCTGCAGAGAGGATGGCTCTCCTGCTTTGGTAGCACAAGGTCGAGCACTTTATGGTAGAAGAGCTTAACAAGGACCAATACCACACATCCCTACGCAGGCTGATCAAGGTGATCACCCACCCGCTTACTGACTGTAGCCAGAGATGCATGAATGAGAACTTTGTCTTTATCAATCTGCTGTCTGTCAATCAACAACAATTTATCAACTGTGTCTTTATCAGTACTGCGGGGCACGGCGTGATTGTAGCAATATAGTTGCGCACAAGCCGCCTTTACTCCGGGCAAGATGATACGCATAGATTTGAATAACAGCGTGGAGAATATGTCACTGAGCCATCCTCACAATATTACTAATGAAGTTTATCTGAAAAATGGATCTATAATTACTAAAAAAAAATCTGTTCAAATGTTATGTAAGCATATTTTTGGCAGTTTTTGACTCCTCATCTCCCTTGTCAGCAGCAAAAATAAAATTTCAAAACAGTTTCCATTTTAACGGATGGGAGTTGCAATCTCTCCCCCCAGTAGTTTTTGCATAGCTGCCAACTCTACTGGACTCTGCCAGTTTCCAGTGGTTTAATTAAAATTCTCCTGGTTTTTGGTAAATGAAATATTCGTGGTTAAAAAAGGGAGGAGATATTAACTGTGCATAGTTAAATTTTACAGAATTGATTCGGAAAAAATTTCTTCCTATTTTAATTTTTTTTTATTTCGTAAAAATAATATTCTAAAATTTTTTATGATTTCTTAAATTGAGTAAGCATCATTACGATTAAAATTGATATGACAACGACAGTATTACATGGAGAAAGCATTACATTGTTTTAGGCAGAAAATCTACAAAAACGTATCACTTCCAGTATTAAATTATAAATTTTTGTACTTCACTGCAAAAAATAAATTTTACGTGTTTATTTTTTTACAAATCATTTTTGTACACC